TTTCTCACAGAAATTGTCATTCTACTCCATGGAGCTGGAATTAACAAAGAAGAAAAACAAAGAATATTTGTGAAACACGTTGTGTGTATGGCACCTTCAAAGAGCTCTAGAACTATGCCACAAAGGGGTTAGTTTTGAAAATAAGGTGGTAAGGGTGAGGGACTGAGGGTAGCAGTATTTTAAACAGGCCTATGAACACCTAAGTTCAACTAAATTACTGTTGCATGAAACACATTACACGTAAAATATAACTGGCAATTTTTAAATATCTGGTTGTGAATCCAGTCAAACACTAGAATGATACTCGTATAGGTAGCTAAACATTTCGGTAATGCTATTCGAGTTTAGTTAGATGCTAGATATATTTCCAGTTTCTATTTGCTCGGAATAACTATACAACAATACTTGGTCATTTTTCAATCATTAGTAAAACGGAGTTTCAAAAGGCGTTGTGAGATTTTATTACTGAGTATCAAAGCTCATCTTTTTCAACATCAACTTTTTGCGCCACACCATCGACGGCCATTTGCAAATATTTGTTCAAAGTTGTGTCCCAGAATGTTTCTCGTTTTCCCAGAGGATTGACGGCCATATTTAAAGTCTTCTTTATGTGCGCGTACGCAAGGTCAGTGCTGTCTTTGTCGATTGGCTGCCATTTAAAGTTCTTCAGAACATTATCTTTTTCATCAGGCGTTGGGTTCCTGAAAAATTGAAAATATTAACATTAAAAACAGTTTTTGAAGTTGACTACGATATATTGAGACTTTTTGTAATAATTTTCTTAGGGGCTCGAAAAAGCCCTAGTTCTCAAAAGGGAAAATAAATAATCTTGTAGTGGTTTTAAGTTGGAATATTGTTTATTAGAGAATAAATTTTATAATAATACATTAACTTAAAATCATGCAATTTTTTTTTTTTTCTTATCCGCCGCCCCCTTTCATATGCCGCCCGGGGCCATGGCCCCCCCTGCCCCCCCCAAGCTACGCCACTGCACCTAGGTATGCCTAAGCTAGTAAAATGGAATGAGAATTTCAGCTTACTTAGGTAGTTGTAGGTTGTTGTTTTAGAAATGAAGTCACACGTTACAATTCAGTCGTAGGTACTAAATATTCGTACGAAAATTATTAACACTAAAGTTTCTGGGTACCTATAGATTATAAAAGTACTAAATGCCTAAAAGGATTTTAATAGAACTCTTGAGCAAAATGGAATTTTTATCTAAACTTATTTAGTGGCTACAATTTCCATACAAGTACCATAAAGTTTTACTATTTCACGCAAAGCCGGTTGTCGCTAGTAATTTACTTAGTTATGTACTGGTACTTTTTCCTACAGCGATAAAATTTTTTATTTCTCACAGAAATTGTTCTACTCCATGGAACTGGAATTAACAAAGAAGAAAAACAAACAATAGTTAAGTAGAAAATACTTCTGAAACACGTTGTGTCTATGGCACCTACAAAGAGCTCTAAAACTAGGTAGGTATGCCACAAAGGGTTTTGAAAATAAGGAGGTAGGGGTGAGGGACAGGGTGGCAGTATTTTAAACAGACCTATGAACACCTAAGTTTAACTAAATTACTGTTGCATGAAACACATTACACGTAAAATATAACTGGCAATTTTTAAATATCTGGTTGTCAAACACTAGAATGATACTCGTATAGGTAAACACTTTGGTAATGCTATTCGAATTTAGTTATATGCTAGAAATATTTCCAGTTTCTATTTGCTCGGACTAACTATAATACTTGGACATGTTTCAATCATTAGTAAAACCAGTAAAACGGAGTTTTAAAAGGTGTTGTGAGATTTTATTACCGAGTATCAAAGCTCATCTTTTTCAACATCAACTTTTTGCGCCACACCATCGACGGCCATTTGCAAATATTTGTTCAAAGTTGTGTCCCAGAATGTTTCTCGTTTTCCCAGAGGATTGACGGCCATATTTAAAGTCTTCTTTATGTGCGCGTACGCAAGGTCAGTGCTGTCTTTATCGATTGGCTGCCATTTGAAGTTCTTCAGAACACTATCTTTTTCATCGGGCGTTGGGTTCCTGATAAATTGAAAATATTAACATTGAAAACTGTTTTTGATATTGACTACGATTTATTGAGACTTTGTAATAAATAATTTTCTAAGGGGCTCGAAAAAGCGCTAGGTTCTTAAGAGGGAAATTAAATAAATCTTGTGGTGGTTTTAAGTTATTTTAGAAATTGTAGGTTTAAATCTTATTTTTATTTCGAATGTTCCATTCGCGTCATTTTGCTGGGAGCCTGAATAGAGAGGGCTTTCCTTCTCTTAAGTACAGTGTATTGCAAGAAGCGATACTACGGGTCGACGATAAGCCGTCAAGAATGCGCCATGTTACTGGATTCATACAAAAGAAGACTTATAGCACAAAAGGGTTTAGGAACTTACCCAGTTTTAGCGAAGTTGGCCCACATACGTATCATCTTCTTCAAAACTTTCATTTCATTTTGCTCGCTCACTAGCTTTTTTAGTTCGACATACTTTCTTTTGATGCGAGAGCATAAATGCAAATAGCACAGTTCGTCTGCAACACTTGCTCCATAATTTCCCAAAGGTATTGACCTTGAATATTTAGCTACATACAACCAGTTTTCATTGATAAGTCCGTTAAAGTCAAACATGTAGTAAAAAGTTGGTGATTTAATGTCCGATGATATTTTCCTAGCAGCGGCGTTCATTGCATAGTTTTGTAATACATCGCCTACATAATCGGCATATTCTAATAGGGTAGAATAGGTAATTACTCCATCTTTAAAGTAAAACTCCACCACCTCTTCTTTGTACTGCTCGAATGCAGAATTATTCCGGTCAAAACGATAATCAGCTCTGATAGGAAAGTGGATGAAAAAGTCTTGACTATTATCAGTCAAAGACCGAGGATTGAATAAATAACGTGAAATAAGATCTAAACCTTCCCTAGAGTTAAATCCAATTAAAACTGGAACATCATTGACAATCTTGCCATTTTCAGGAAGAGTCGTTAACACCGCTTCAGGGCCTTCTTTCTCTATCACTGGGCCAAATGGATGTATGCTCATTTGATATTTCTCATAAAATTCATCGTCTACAACTTCAACTTCATTCTCAAGAATTTTCACATGGTCCAAATTCTGTAGTTCTTTCAGTAAAGTGGTGCTATCGTCAGTTTCAATGTTTAAAAGTTCAGCAATTTGAAAAGCTGATTTTCTTGGGTTTCTTGGGAAAAATATAGCCTCATGTGCAGAGCTACCTTGGATTATAACAGAATTGAAAAGGCCTTTTGCTTGTTCGGAATAAAGCAATATATTAGCCATTACAGCACCTCCTTTGCTTCCCATTATAGTCACTCGATTGGGGTCGCCACCGAAACTTTTTATGTTATCTTTTACCCACTTCAATGCAAAAATGAAGTCTTTAATTCCATTGTTAGGTGGTATGACATCGTCTTCAGTGGTAAGATATCCAAGTAGACCTAGTCGATGGCTCACCGTGACTATAACGACGTTTTCTTCCGGGAGAAATTCTGGAGCATATGTTTTAGTGCCATTGAATCCAGTGCGGAAGTTATCGTGGAAGTCGAATACGAGAACTGCAGCTGAACCCTCTAGGTTTGGGGTGAAGATGTTGACGTAGAGGCAGTCCTCTGAGCCTGATATTCCGTATGGTTCACTATTGCGGCTTCTTGAACAGAACTGGACACATGTAGGTTTGTCGGTGTATGCTTCCAGCAGTTCATTGCCCCAATCTTGAGGTGCTTTTGGTGGCTGAAATGTTATACATTATATGACATAATGTAACAATTATATTTTTGGAGAAATTAAGATATCTGACCCTACAAGACCAGCTTGAATTAACTTAATACTTACTAAGTAGTTTGAAAATTATAAATAACTTGAAAAAATCAAACTGCCTAAGTAGGTAGGTACTAATGTAACTTGAATATCATGAATGAATTATAACTTAAACTAAAATTCAAATATATTTGTTTTCCTTACCTTGAATCTCAGCTCTCCAACTGGTGGTGCAGCGTATGGGATTCCTTTGAAGGCATAATAAGGTTTACCAGAGAGGAAGGTTTTATGTTCTTTCCCTGACACCAAACCTTGTTTCAATTTGACCTCTACAGTTTCTTTACCAGCACATACATTTACTAAAATTACTCCCAGCAATACAAAAATTGGTATTGTTTTCGTCATTTTCCTTAATATTTACATGAATATACTATACTCCGAACTAAATCATTTGTAACTAACTTTATTGATAATAATGGAAGGTGTACTTAGCCTTATCAGCGTTCGATAAGGTTACGTGTTAATTTATTAATTCTTGAATGTAATCGCCGTATTTCACACGTCAGATAATAATTTAAGACATGTGGTTTGGCCACATACGGAAAAATGGCCTATTTTTAGTGCTTAGGATAAGAATGGCTAGCTCGGGTTTCCCGCCTTATAAAGTTTAATAAAATGTCAGATAAAAGTCCACCAGTTAAAAAGCGAAACGTTTACGTATAATATTATGACGACCAATGAAATCATGCCATTTCGTTTGACAGCTGATAACATAATAGCGTAGTTAATCACCTAGAATGTAAAGGGTCCTAGGTACGATCCCTATTTGGTTTTTTAAGCAGCCTTTTATCCGATCTGAATACTCAAAACACAGTAATGTAATAACTTGACCCTGAATCCGTGATCATTGGTATATGTTTATTAACTATTATAATATTTCTTAACAACTACTTTACATTACAATAACTGAACAGGTTATTTAGTAGGATGCCTTAAAATTGAGACAATAGCAATATTCAATTACTACTGAGAATATTAGAAATCATATTGTTTGTTGATTACATGCATTGCTTGCGGGAAGTCATTGAGGGAGGCCTATATTCAGCAGTGGATATCCTGTGACTGAAATGATGCATTGCTTTAGCATCTCAGATTTCAACAATAAATCAAGGCAATTCTAAATAATGCACAGTTGAATTTTACACTATTTATTTACAGTTCGTCTTTCTTATTATCTTTGACTATGCCGTTCACAGCCATGTTCTTGTATTTCTCTATGAAGTTGTCCCAGAAGGTCACCACGTTGTCGTGCAAGTTTGTCTTCAGGGTCAGTTCATCACTGATCACCATGCACTCTTTCTTGTCTGTCGTCGCTGGCTTCCATTCCACATCTGATCCGGGTGGTGTTGGGTTGCTGGAAATATGTAATTTTTGGATTATGAGAAATACTGTTCCTTTTGTAAAAGTAATCAGTCCTTAATCAACTTTAGTAAGACCATAAGAGGTTCAAAATTATCTACACTAGTTAAAGGCTTAAAAAGTTTAATTGGCCTTAAATAAATGAGGGAAAGTCTTTAAGGTAATGAGCTTGAGTACTGCAAACTAACTAAACAAAAAACTACATGCTTACCCTTCTTTTGCGAAGTTGGACCACATTTTAACCATGTTATTTAGTACCGTCATTTCTTCCGAATCTTCTTCTTTTAACGCTTTCTTGTATGCTTTCCTTATTGGTTTACACACAAACAAATAGCAGAGATCATCACCAAGGTTCGCCCCCCATGTCCCATCAATTGAGGTAGCGCCTTCCATGAACATTTTCTTCTTCAAATTAAATTCACCACTATAATCAAACATGAAGTAATAAACAGGAGTGTTCGTGTTATTAGTGTACTGTCTCACTGTGTAATCTATGCCATAAAATTGAAACAGATCACTACTATAACTTATGTACTCTCCGGGATAACTGATTTGGATATAGCCCTCTTTAAAGTAAAAGTCTTTAATACTTTGAATTGCGTCATTGTAAACTTGCGAGAGTAAATCAAAGCTGTAGTTAGTTCTGTAAGGGAATAAGAATACAAAATCTCTGTCAGCCATCGTTAAAAATTGTGGCATTTGAAGATAACGTTCGGAATGAGCAATGCCTTCTCTGGAATTGTATCCTATCATGATAGGAACATCGATTTCGATTGGTAAGCTTTCTGGTAGCTTGGTGATAACAGCGTCCGGATGATCGTGCTCAACAACGGGTTGAAAAGGAATCACTCCTTGTTGAATTATTCGAGCTTCATCTGCATGCACAGCTCTTCCTTCCAGCTCTGTTAAAACCATTACGTCAAAGTCTGTGAGACGTTTAAGCAAATATGAACTGGTGGTAGCATGTTCGTCTAGCTCTTTTGAGAATTTAATCGCCCGTTCTCGAGCTCCCTTATCCCTTATGAACGTGGGATCCCAAGAAGTTCCACTGTGTAATATAGCTCGGCTGAACAGACCTTTTGTTTTAGGGGATTGTAGAAATATATCAACTATCACCGAACCACCGTTATGACCCATTAGAGTTACTCTGTTGGGGTCACCACCAAAACTGCGGATATTTGCTTGTACCCATTTCAGGGCCATGATGACGTCTCTCAAACCGTTATTTCCTGGTAGAAGGTCATCTTCAAACGAGAGAAAGCCTAAAGACCCGAGTCTATGCTGGAGAGTTACTATTATAACACCTTCTTTCATAAAGAAGTCTGGACCATATTGCTTGGAGGCGTTATAGGCAGTATTAAAGTTTTCGTTGTATAAGAAAACTATTACTGGTAGGTTAGGATTGTCGGTATTTGGAAGTTTTGGAGTATGTACACTTAAATGTAGACAATCTTCGCTTCCAGAAAATCCATAGTTTTTTACATGTTTCATAGGCAAATAATAATGGGCACACGGCTTTTTTTCCTTTTTGGCAGAAAGAATATCTGACCAGCCTGGATGAGGTTTTGGTGGCTGAAATAAAAAGAAGAAATTATTATGATACATTGCAAACAATATAGGTATTGAACCAATAAGTTACTTTGGCCACGACGAATACAAAAATAATAGGGTCTGTTTATAAAAGAACTAAGTATGTAACTATTAAGAAAATAAAAAGAGCTTACCATAAAGCGCTTGGGAGGTTCCGCATAAGGTATGCTAAAAAACGAGAAAAACTTCTCGTTTGGCAATATAGACTGAACTTCTACTCCGGCAACTTTGCCGGACTTTGTTTCAACGATCACATCTCCATTCACAAAATAAATAGCACAAAACAAAACGCCGATTACATGTGGAAGTCTATACATTTTTGTAAATAATCTGCCCATAAAATATATTGTTTACTAATCACATAATTTACCAGTTAACAACTGACGTGTACCTTAATAATCGCAGGTAATCTATGTGGGTTTGTATTCGTCGTTATCAGTGAGATATCGGAGAATTCTGCCTGAGCATTATGGTATTAATCGCTCGTCTTTGGCTACCTGTTCGAGATAATTTTACTGTTGTTAAGCATACTCATAAATCAAAACCTAGTAAAATATTCAAGGCAGGGTTGATCAATTGTGTGTAATGAAAAAAACTATCTAAACTTTTTACAACGAAAGCATGTAGGCTGAGAGAAGTAATATAGAGAACCTAAAATAATAAAATTAAGCAAAACTTTGATGTTTTTTTAAATCTCTCCTATAAGAAAATAGCTGCCGTATGCTGGTTAGTTCAAATAAAAATGGTAGTTTTTTAATAATTTAAGTGCTTCCACTCGTATTTTAATTTTCAAGATAATATTTTACGCTTTGTACGCCCACGTTGTGTTCTAATCTCGCAGATATTGAACTCAAAATTCTCTTCAAGTAATAATTTTAATACATAATGTATTTACGTATGTGATTTGAAAGTTACATTATATTATTTTCATTATAACCTGCCTCACACTGAAATTCTATAGATACTGAAATCTGTTTTAAAAGTGGGAAATTTCATATTAGGAAAAAAGGAAGAAAAATTAATACGATAAACGAAAACAATGTTAATTAATTAAGTTTATTTCATCATAACTCATCTTTGTTCTTTGAACTAATGATTCCATTGATAGCTCTTTGTTCCCACTTCCCAATGAAATTGTCCCAAAACCTGAATCGTTCTTTGTTTAGGTCAGACTTCACTGTAATTTCTTTGTCTATGTTCAGGTATTTCCTGTTCTCCAGGTCATACGTAGGCCACTTCAGTCCCAAGTCCACGTCATGCTCAGGTGTCGGGTCCCTGAAACGTTAAAGAATTAATTTCTCACCCATAAATCTGAATAATTAGAACCAGCTCAACAATGCCCCAAGTAATTTATTGAATGATGAATTAAAATGTTCGCCGTGAGTACCGACCCGTATTTCGCGAAGTTCGTCCACATTTTAACCAACTTCCTTAGGATTATTATTTCTTCCGACATCGATTTATTGTGTTTGAGGTACAACTGTTTGAGGGCTGGGCATTGAAATAGGTAACATAGCTCGTCGCCCCCCGCCGCTCCCCAAGTACCATATTCAGTAGTAACGTAATTCATTAAATCGTTTTTGATCTCATTTAAATCACTGATATAATCAAAGTGATAGTAATACAAAGGACTTTCTGTTCTCTTCGCATACATTTTCACAGTTTGATCCACGACGTATCCAGTTATAACGTCGCCTATGTACGTTATGTACTCAGCTACACTTTTAATCGTCACTCTCCCATTTTTAAAATAGAACTCTTTTATTTCATCAACAGCCTTGTAATACAATTCGTTAAGCGGATCGAATTTAAATTTGATTCGCAATGGGATTAGAAAGGGGAAATCTTTTTGTACGAAACTGAGGTAACGCGGCTCGCTTAGATATTGCAAAGAGGCCTCTAAACCCTCCCGAGAGTTAAATCCAATCATAATGGGAATGTTTATTCTTTCATGCGAATCCTCCGGATATTGAGTTAAAAGTCCGTTCGGTGTCTTCTCGACTATAGGCCCGAAAGTTAGCACCCCTCGCTGATGCTCTTTAAAGTAGTCTGCAGGATTCGCATGTAGTTCTTTCCCTACTAAATCTGAGGCAGGGAGTTCATTTAAATCGTTCAACAGTTTAATATTACTACTGGAAGGTCTGTCCAGGAGTTCGGCCAAGGAGAACGCTCGTTCTTTTAGATCCTCCTGCAAATAAGAAGTCGCCAAAGAAGATCCACCTTGTAAAATTGCTGAATGGAAGAGGTGTTTAGCGTTAGAGTGTAGAAGTAGATCTACAGCTACAGCACCACCTTGAGACCCCATTAGAGTTATTTTGTCAGGGTTACCACCAAACTTGGCAATATTATCTTTGGTCCATTCCAAAGCTGCAACTATGTCTTTTAAGCCTGCGTTACCTGGTACTAATTCGTCTTCCAAAGACAGGAATCCTAGAACTGATAGTCTGTGACTCAAAGTTACTGTGACAACGTTTTCTTCTATGAAGAAATCGGGGAGGAAGTCTTTAGTTTTATTGTAGGAGCCCGTGAAATGTGTGTTGTATAGGAAAACAATGACGGGGCGCATTTCGTCATCAAGTTTAGGGGTGAATATGTCCAGGTAGAGACAGTTTTCGTCCCCGTACCAGCCTATCGGCTGCCCCTTGCGGATATTCGTGTTGAACTGGACACATGCCTTTTTCTCTTTCGTGGCAACGAGAACGTCGTCCCACGGCTCAGCGGGTTTTGGGGGCTGGAAAATAAATTGCGGAATTAGCGACCATTGGGATTTGACCGAAATAACCATTTAATGAAATATTCCAAATGAAAATCTAAGGCACATCGAAGCTGAGTATCAAATTCAGTAATCTACATTTAAAGATACATCTTTTTCATTAAAAATCTAAAAACTNTTGTTAAAAACTGCCTCTAAGAAATAAATTGTGTTTGTTTACATATAGAAGAAGTACCTACGTAATTTCTTAAGAAAAAATGTGTCTTACCAAAAATCTCAGCTCTTTGAGTGGAGGCACTGCGTATGGTATTCCAATAAATCCATAATATTCCACATTATTTAGTAATGACTTCAACACTTTTCCTTGAACTTTTCCATGCGTTGTCTCTACAATCGGCTTCTCTGCATTTATCAAAGTAAACGTTAAACATATAACCAGTAATTGAATATACATTGTTTACAGCAAACTATAAAATATTTAGGACATATTAAATTCACGAGTGACAAATATCTACTGTGTCGTTAAGGGACAGATAGCAACTATCAAATTAATCTAAGCTGTAATAAAACATATCATTAACCACGTTACGATTTGGATTTACATTCACAATAAACGGTAATGAAGTAAACTTACGAATATCTATCCAATCTACGAATACCTATCTACATATTTGGTTGATGTTCAAACTAATACATACCAATAGGTAGGTACTGTTTCTGCACACGGCTTCGGCTGCGTACATTTCAGTCTGTCATAAAAAGTTTTGCAATATTATGGTCCTAAAAAATGTCTACTATTTTGAAACGACAGAGCGTTTCAAAATAGTAGACATTTTTTAGGATTTTTCTTACAAAAAGCATAGCCTAACATTATGTTCTGTTACCAAATATGATATCCTGTTGTGTCCATTTCCAATGTTTAAAACTTTAAATTTCCAACGTTCAATTTATCCAAAAATAAAAAAATATGGAACTTAGGGCTACAAAAAGTTCGAAATAAATAAATACAGTTGTTGTATTTTATGTTGTACAACTTCTGGGTCTACGAGTACTAGAGTCGATTTTAAAATCGAAATAAAACAAAATGTAACACAAAATGTAACGTCCAGCGTTTGTTTTTAAAATATCTTCACGGTTCTTAGCAAATTTCCTTACTGACGTGTGCTATTTAACTTCACTTCACCTTCAATGTTAACTGTGACAGTGTTTTCTGTGTCCTACACCATGACTACAGGTCTAGATCTTAGAAGTAATAATGTTATATTTTCACCTAATTATTCTGCTTTTGACAGTAAAGTGTAGTTCTCTATGTGTGGAAGAAGGAGATAGTGAGAGTGATACTTTGTGTGTTAATGTAAAAGGTAGTAAAGTTTTGGGAAGGAAATTAAACACAATTTTAGAGAGAAAACTTTTCGCTGTATTTTGGGACATACCATATGCCGAAGCTCCATTGCGTGAGTTAAGATTCAAGGTAATTCTACATAAAATTATTTTTTTACAGCATTTTGGAATAAAAAAATGTTTTTAAATAGGTACATTTTAGAATTTTCTTTTTATTTTTAAAACTGAGCATAGAATGCAAAAAGTATCTAGCGCTTTCTAAAATACTTAAAGTTTCAAACTCGCGCATTTGTTAAACTTCATTTAGTTTATTTTAAGTTTCGCTTAGACGTGTACAAAGTAGGTAGTCCTCTTTGTAACTTCCACTTGGAATAGTTTCCAACCCTATTTATAAAGCAGTAGAAAAGTACTTCATAAACGTTTTCCTTTTCAGCAACCAAGAGAAAAATATTTGAAAAACGGAACCCTCGATTGTAGCCAACCACGGAAAAAATGCGCATGCTGCTATGATGAAGACTGCTTGTATTTAACTATTTATATGCCCATTTCTTATAATCAATCGAGGAACCTCCCCGTTGTTGTTTGGGCAGATCACAATGAAGTTTTGCAATACCCAGACTTTTTCATAGAAGAAGAAGTGGTAGTCGTCGTTGTTACTTACAGGCGATTTATTTTTGGTTTTCTAAATACCGGAGACGAATTTGCCGAAGGTAATATGGGTGCAAAAGATATCTTGATGGCACTGAAATGGATTAAAAGATACATTAGATCTTTTAATGGTGATCCAAATAGAATAACAGTGGCTGGATTCCAATCAGCGGCCACGATAGTGTCATCACTGATACTTACTCCAGTCGCAGAAGGTTTATTTTCCAGAATTATAATCATAGGCGGTAGTGCCCTCTCACCTGCAGATTACAGAAACTATAATTTCGATGTTATGAACAAACTGTATTGGAATCTGAATGGACCGTTTGAAAAGTTGAATCGCACGAATCTTTACCAAATTCTAGCAAACTATTCTACTAGTGAACTGATGGTAGCCTCAGAAGATCTCTTTGACAGTACTGAAGTAAGAGACAGCCAAAGACTAATCAATGCCTTCTGTCCAAGTATCGAAGTGACTAAAAACACATTTATGAGTAAAGCTCCGATAGAAGTGTACAAAGCTCGTCTAACAAACAATAACGTAGAAGTTATGATAGGATACACGAGTTTAGAGGCGCTGGTAAAATTGAAAGGTTTTATTCAAAATAAAAAGCTTTTGAAGTATTTAAATTATAACTTCCAATATTTATTGCCGTTCGAAGGAACAAAGGACGAGTACGGATCAAAGCGCTATAGGAAGATAAGGGAGAAAATAATGGAGTTCTATTTCTTTAATGGCACCATTGGAGAAAGGAGCCTGAGACGATATGCAAAATATGTTTCGGATCAAGTGATTTATCCGTTGCTCCGCCAGGCGCGACTCCAGGGCGACGCGTCGTGTAGAAACGTCTACTTGTTTAGGTTTGCGTTCAGAGGCGCCTTGAACGTTGCTTGGGATTCTTCGGCGCGCCATTTAAATTGGTCTGGAGCGACGTCTGGGGACGAAATCTGCTACCTATTCAGATGTAAATCAGTCGGCGACGTGTACAATAGCTACGAAGCGTCGAATGAAAGGCTCTTCATTAAGAAAATCGCGCGGTTATTGGCGAATTTCGCTAAATGCGGGTAAGAATAATGATGCTTCAATTTTTGCGGTACGCCCAAGTGGCCTTGCGTTTCAAAGCTATGAATTTTAATCGTCTAATTATAAGATACTTTGCAATTTGTGGCAGAATTCGGGATGAATTTAACGAAAGCTATTATTAAGTTAGCTTGAGAATTAACCGAGTTATGGTTTAGTAACTAAGTTACATTTTTGTTTTAGAGATCCGACGCCCGTGAAAGAAGATGAGGTTTTGGGAAATTTGAAATGGGAGCCTTTGCGAAGACGCGCGTCAATTAGAGCACTGAATATGGGTCGCAGACTTAAAATGGCCGACGTGCCGGAACAGCCACGAGTGAACTTTTGGGATCAGTTAAAAAGTGAATTATTTTCGGAAAAACTTCGCAACGTGGAACTTTAAGCGAAATTGTTTTCGGGTAATGTAGTTTCGGGATTCTTCACGACCAACTTTCAGGATTAATAACGCAAAATGTTCGGGGAGAAACTTTTGCCACCGATACATATATCGTACGAAACGAAGATAAACAGATTTCAGCTAACATTTTCAGTAACTGTAACTTGTTTCAAATGAGATTATTGTTTTCATTTAAAATACCTACTACGCGTTAAATACGCACTAAAATACTATTGGAAAACAATGTTCCTTTTATTGAATTCAAATTATTGGTTTTCAACACTTTTATTGAGTTTTGTAGATCATTAATAATTATATTTTTAAACAATTACACCGATTTATTATTTAAAAGTAAGTAGAGCTAGTGCTACATAGATTAAGACCATGATTAAACAAAGCTTTTGCTTAATAAATAGACAGACACATACATTTATCTACAAAAACTTAATTCTGGGTAGGATCAGCTGTGTAATTCCTTTACTCTCACACTAACATTTGCTCCCTGCGGGATTTGAACTAGCAACCGCAGCACACGTCAAATTCGCGAACAATTGGGCCACATGGGTATCAGAATCGTGCTAAGTATAGTCCTTATTTTGAAACGACTATAAGCTGATTTGACTTCAATTTCATTACACGCCATGAAAACAGTCAATGGGTCCGTAAAATGCTCTAACTGGGGCCCATAAATCAGCCATTAGAGGATTAGTGTCACCACGAGCAGTTAATGACGAATGTGCAATATGGGTTTACGCACGAAGTATTGATTTTATGGTAATGACTTATGGGACATTACGTCATAAGTTTTAATTGTCGTAAAAGGGACAGATACGAGATCCTCAGACCTCCCCAACCCTTCTGGTCAGCGTGGAGAGTGTTAGCCCTAGCCCTTTAGGCTATCCTCTCTACTGAGATAAATTGGTAATTTCCTTGAAAATTTTCAATGAGGCGCTGATATATGAATTTTGGAGAAGAAAAGAAATTAAAGGATTTTTTTGCCGAAAATTTTTATTCGCTCTATCACACTGAAGCCGACAGCTTAACATGTCACCTAAAGCACGAATTTTTTTTGTATGTACTTGATTGATTCGTCTGTAATATCGTGACAACACATTTGAGAATCAAATCCTGATCCTCCGAGTCGAGAAAGTCTCACTCTAGAAAATACCACTACACATTTTTCTAGATAAAGATTGCGAGTACATCTCGAAAATAAAAAGGAAACAGTATAAATGATTGTTTATTCCATTTAATTGGGATTATATGGCATCTATATTCTAAAACTTAGCCTTTGGATTTGCAGAACTACTAATTATGAAACTATTAATTGGCCGTCAGTCACTTCTCGCGCTGGAGCTCCGAATCCCGTGAATGGGCTTGAACAGAGTTCAAAGCAAAGCATTCATTGATTAGTTCTGAATTGGATTCCAGCTGATATTTCAGTCTAAAGTCACGAGGGACCATTTTACCAAATTTCTGTCTTCTCAGGGACCACTTTTTTTTTCAAAATCCTATGAAAGGGGAGCTCGATTTCTCGCCCACTGTGCGCCGTTTGCGTTGTGCTGACTCGACTCATCACGTCACGTCACTTGTTTATTACGATGTCTTCGTGGACCACTAGGAATGCCTCCAGGGACCACCAGTGGTCCGCGGACCACCGGTTAAGAACCACTCCATCTAGATACCTAAATGATTTATTTATTTATATTGATGGTTACCTTGATCCTATGATGATAGTAAAACTGTATTTGAATGTACCTATATATAAGAAAAAAGAAATCTTTCTAAGATAGTCGAAATCGCATCAAGATAAACACTGGGTTCTTAAATATCATAATATCTGAATAACAGCTACTCATATTGCAAGATTTTTTAAATCTGCTGTACTGTTGTTACTAATTTAATAGACAGGCTGTCCCGAATTGAGATTTTGCTTATTCTATTCTGAGTTTTTGACACTTATCAACAAGTGATTAGTCAGTCACATTAAATAAATAATAATAAGCCCATTGCGAGCGAGCGAGAGGTAGTCTAGTGAAAATCGCAACAAAAATGAACATTTCCTTCCGAGGAAAGGTTCATTTTGGCGTTCTAAAAGTTGTCTCAAAAGTATCGTGTCTCTTATGCTGAAATGACAAGACTTTAGCAAATATTGTGTTACATTAATCAAGCAGCTATCCTACTAATATTATAAATGCGAAAGTTTGGATGTTTGTTACTCTTTCACGCAAAAACTACTGAACGGATTTTGATGAAACTTTACAGTATTATTGTTTATAACCCAGAATAAAATAAAGGCTATAATTTGTGACGATCGGTGACAAACGAAATTTCACGCGGGCGAAGCCGCGGGAAAAAGCTAGTATCTAATAATGATTACCGCCATTTCTCGTAATACTCTAGAAAGCGTGGAACATAAAAGTATCACATCATCGCATCAGTGAAATGGGATTTTCACAACAATGAGTCGACAAAAGAATATGAAGGTGTAAGGGGAGGCGTGATGGAGCGACAGTGCCCAATCTATTCGTATTACAGACTACTGTGTAGCCTAGACTGCGAGGATTGCTCTTCAATCGCAAGTTATCTGTGGCAATAGTTTGAGTCTAACCAAAGTGCCTTAAAAATAGGGTCAGGCTGGCTGCAAGGATCTAGTAGTTCAAAAAGATGTCTCAATCTTCATTCTTAGTATTTCTTAGTCCCAGATATAATGCAAAATTACAGCTCTCTAGTGCCAGTAGTTTCCAAGCAAAACCTCGGACAGACAGACAGACAGACATATCGAAACTATAAGGGTTCCTTGTCAGGACTACGGAACCCTAAAAAGTAACCTAGATTATCTTGTCAACGCCAGTTGTAGGAATATGCCATTCAAAGTGCAGTATTTGCGCTGCTCGAAAAAAATACACGAAACAGGTTGGGTTGCACCAACATCAAGTGTCTAAAAAACCACCGGTTATGGTTATAGTTACGGTTAAAGTTACGGTGGTGCAACCGTGGAACTCAGCCATATTGATTCTGCTTGGTTTTTAAATGAGTTTTTTTTGTTAAAATAGCATCCATTGAGTGTATTGATCTGTGACGCATACATTTGTAATTTCTCTCTACAATCCGGGAATAATTTGCCAGAAATTACTTTGTTCGATTTCACATTGTCGGCATTATACAGATGTTTATGAGAATGGAATTATTACATGTATTCCAGCGATGTTCAGCAAAATATTTTGCTGAACATCAATAGACTTCAGCCATTTAATATTAAATTAATTAAATATTTATCTGTATAATACTTTATGTACTTAAATTATCTGTTCATTCTCTTCGAGATCCAAACTCGAATCTTACCTACCTTTCTATTATGACAAAGGGCGCGGGCGTAAGTAAAAGTCTAATAAACACAGCTTTTAATTAACAATAATAACAAATTTAGGTTGCACCATCTTACTTTAGCTTTAACAAACGTTCAAAATCTGTCAAATTCCATAAAAAAAGCACCGGTTTTCGTTATACACTCGGCATCAAATAAATCGCACCTCCCGCGACAAGCACTTATCAAACGTATGCATCCCCACTTCCCACCAACATTGATACCATTTGAAAGCCTAGTTCTAAACTTCATTTCATTAAAGGAAAGGTTTTTACCCCAAAAATGTGTCTTTACAAGGATCCAGAGTCACTTTTTCAAAAAATAGGTACCCAGATCCGTCAAAGAAATTAAAATTCATCATTTCAATTTCTGCTCGGCCGGCCGACTCGAAACAGCCTCTCGGCATAGTATCAAATGTATTTGGTCGCCGTACAAATCACCGCTTCACGACACGAACGCACGTATAGTTCCAAAATACTGGACTGTCCTGTCGATGACATTGACAGTGGGGCGCCACCGTCAATATACCGGATTGCTGGTTCAGATTTTTGCCATGTTGGAAACCATATAGTTGAACGATGGTAGCGCCCCCCTGTCATTGAGTTTGGCGGGACAGTTCAGCGTGGGTCATCTATAAACGTCACGGCGGGAAAAATGACACACGTCCTGCCTTGACGGGCGCTCGCGCCATACTAAATACTAATCGATGTCGGCTTGCGCATTGTAATTTATACTGATATTCACATCAATATTTTGACAAAGTGGTTACTAATATTTAANTCAAAAATGTGTCTTTACAAGGATCCAGAGTCACTTTTTCAAAAAATAGGTACTTACGTACGCTATAGCCATTTTTTATGACTATAAAACTGTTAAGTTGGGATTAATCGCTATCCATCTGAAGAGGACACGTGAGATCTTTATTTGGTTTTATAACCAGAAAAATTGGTCTGATTGATTCCGGAGGTGAGCCCAAAGTGAGGTCTATTTTCAAGTCACATGTATGGTATATGTTCATCATTTATTTAGAAATGAAATGTATTTTTCTTTAAGGATATTTATTGGGCTTTCAAATAACACCAATATTGTTGGGGTACCATAATTGTGTCAGAAGGAAATCTTGAAAGTTCGCGTCGCGGTGTAGTTACCGTAAGAGTAGGCGCACACCGTTGATTTTTAGTTGGCCGATAGTTGTGCCCGATTTCAAATTGTATGAAGAATCGGCCAAATCGAATCGGCGTGGTGTGCGCACTCCCATATGCCCATATCAACAGCCCGACTAAACTATATCGGCCGACGAAAAATCAACGGTGTGCGCCTACTCTTAAAGTTGGGTGGAGCAACTCAGCCTAAGGACGATTGTCTTTGTAAAGATTTGTGTCACAGTATACCCACTTATGCGCGATAAATAGGTTCAGAGCTCTGGGGCCCGTTCAAAAGGGATTGAGACATTATTTACCGCGGCGTCTCTATTTTAACGCGTCTTCTTATCTTCGGGAAAATACGAACAATAAATCGCAAAACAGTTTTATTTGTAACGAACTGGGGGACAAAAGGTTATCTTATCTGTTTTGTTTATTATCTGTGTTAAATAAATAGTTTTTTCGGGAAAAAATATAGTTTCCGGACGATGGTTAAC